ATCTTTTCTACCGGTTATGAGGAGGTCGTCAACGTATACAGCAACTAATAGGAGACTATCTTCAGCTTTCTTACAGTACAAGGATGGTTCTTTGGAGCACTTAGTAAACTTTAGTTTCTAGAGAACTTTATTTAGTTTCTCATTCCAGGCTCTCAGAGCTTGCCTCAATCCATACAAATTTTTGTTTAACTTGTAAACTTTGTTTTCACTGCCACTGATCACAAAGCCTTCTGGCTGTGCTACATACACATCTTCTTTCAGATCACCGTGCAGAAAGGCGGTCTTGACATCCAAGTCGTGTACTTCCCATCCGTTTGAAACTGCGAGGGCAATAATGAACCTAACAGTCTCAATTCTTGTGACAGGAGCGAAAACTTCCTCGAAGTCTATGCCATGACGTTGAATGTAGCCTTTTGCAACCAGTATTGATTTGTATTTGTTGATGCTCCCATCTGAATTACGTTTGAACTTGAATATCCACTTGAGTCCTATCGCCTTTGCACCTTTAGGTAAGTCTACCAAGTCCCATGTTTTGTTTTTTATTATACTCTCAATTTTGTCTTCACACGCATTTCTCCAAACCTTCTCTTTCACAGCTTCCGTGTATTCCCATGGTTCTTCGTTTATGAGTAGCAAGAGATGTTCACCTTCGGTTTCTCCAAGATGAACATAATCGCTTAGATAGGCAGGTGTTTTGATAGGTCTTTTTGATCTTCTTACATTGATAGTATTTGTGGTAACATCATTTGGGAGTGTAACAGTATTGCCTTCACCATCTTCGTTGACGTCTTCTTGAAAAATGTTGTCATCATGATCCCCTGTTTTTTCTTCAAGTTCTGTCTCCTGTATTTCTTGATTACCAAAGTTTCCAAATGTAACTTTGAAGGTTCCTGGTACTTCTTCATCCTCGGTTGTAGTGCTGTTCCACTTCCATGGTTTTTCTTCATCAAAACACACATCTCTACTTACGACTATCTTTCTTGTAGCTGGATCACACATTATGTACGCCTTAGAACCTGGTTCGGTTCCGAGATGTACTAGGGGTCTGGATCTATCATCGAGCTTCCTAAGGTGAGGTGTTTCTGCTTTTGTATATCCAACACAACCAAATACCTTAATGTGTTTGACACTCGGCTTTCTTCCTTTAAATACTTCATATGGAGTTTGGTGATTCAAGGTTCTTGTCGCGGCTCTGTTGATAAGATACGTGGCATGTCTTATGGCTTCACCCCATAGATAATTTTGGACACTCATATGCTTAAGTATGCTCCTTTTCATCTCTAACAAAGTTCTGTTCCTTCTCTCTACAACTTCGTTTTGCTGCGGTGTATAAGGAGCTGTCAAGTGCCTTTGTATCCATGATGCTTCACAAGAGTTTTGGAAGTCCGTAGATGTAAACTCTCCACCTCTATCTGTTCTAAAGGTTTTGATACTTTTCTTTGTTTCTTGTTCCACCATTGCTTTGAAGAGTTTGAACTTACTAAACGCCTCACTTTTTTCTTTTAAGAGTATTGTCCACATATACCTTGAATGATCATCCACGAGTACAAATAGATATATGTTATTCGTTGATGTACTTGGTGAGATTGGGCCACAAAGATCTCCATGAATGAGTTCCAATACTTCTTCTGCACGATAACTTGTCGATTGTGGGAATACTCTTCTTGTTTGCTTGCCACGCATACATGTTTCACATATCTCTTTCTCAACATCAATGTCTGGTATGCCTAACACCATCCCCTTTCGTATCATTAGTTTCATGGTCTCAACTCCTAAGTGGCCTAGTCTTGCGTGCCACTTAGCTGACTCGTTCTTCTCATCTATTTTCAGACACTTCATATCAACAACATCCCTGAGGACCTTATAGAGGCGATTCTTAGATCGTTTTGCTCTTGTGATCAGATTTCCATTCTTGTCATGTAGAGTAAGATAACCTTCCTTCATCTTCACTTCGCACCCAGACTATGTTGCTTGACCCAAGCTTATAATGTTGCTTTTTAGGCTGGGTATGAAATAGACATCTGTAAGTAACCTTCTTTCTCCGTCTTTACTGATGAATAATATAGACCCTTTACCTTTAATGTCAATTCGTGAGTCATCATCAAATCGAACCTTTCCCGTGATGTTCTCATTAATTTGCTTGAAGTAGGTTTTGTTTCCAGTCATATGGTTGCTCGCACCATTATCTAAGTACCAAATTCTGTCTCCATCCATGCTTGATCGAACTCTTTTGGTTTCATATCCTTCTCATTAAGGTATACTACTTCATGCATCATGAGAGCATCAGCTTCTTCTGTCCCTTCTTCTTTATTTTCTTGTGTTTCTTGTAATTTCAGCAATCTATCTGGACATGAGTAGGAAAAGTGACCATTCTTGTCGCATCTATAGCATACTACGTGAGATAAGTCTCTATTATTGTCCCAATAAGACCTTCCACGGCCTCTTCCCCTGTTGTAGTTCCTTCCTCCTCTTCCTCTTCCTCTGTAATTATTTTGGTAATCTCGATTGGACTGTGTCTCCATATTGGCGTACATTAGCTTATTTTGTTGTTTATCTCGATGCTCATCTTCTTCTGCACTTATACGCTCGTCATAGGTCTTTAGACGGCTTATTATATCTTCAAAGTTGAGTGTCTTTAGATCAAGCATCTGTTCTGTTGACGCAATAATATGAATGTATCTATTACGAGGTAGGCTAGATAGAAACTTTTTGACAAGTTTGTATTCATCCATGTTTTCTCCTAGAGCAGCAGATTTGGAAGAGATTTCAGATAACTTCCCTACAAAGTCATCGGTGGTTTTGTTGTCTTTCATCTTCAATCGGTCAAATTCAGCCATCAAAGTTTGTAGCCGCGCCTCTCGTACTCTATCTGTGCCAACATGACGAGTTCGAATTGCCTCCCATACTTTTTTTTGCAGAATCTAACTCTCCAACTTGTTAAACTAGGGCTTCTGGAATGGATCCAAACACCAGTGCAGTCGCCATGGTGTTCTTCTTCACGTCATCGGACTCTGTTTCCACAACCTCCCATACTTCATGGACTTTAAGTAACAGTTTCATTTCGCCCATACCGTATAGTTTGTAGTGGTTAACATAGAACACTTGATCACGGATGATCCTCCTTCCTTCCCTTTGTCTGTAATCGTTGTAATATCACTCATGGTTGTTAAAGCTTNAGTCGCCATGGTGTTCTTCTTCACGTCATCGGACTCTGTTTCCACAACCTCCCATACTTCATGGACTTTAAGTAACAGTTTCATTTCGCCCATACCGTATAGTTTGTAGTGGTTAACATAGAACACTTGATCACGGATGATCCTCCTTCCTTCCCTTTGTCTGTAATCGTTGTAATATCACTCATGGTTGTTAAAGCTTCTTCTTAGCTAAGCTCTGATACCAATTATTGTTTTAAAGATTGCACTATAACAAAGACTCTCTCTTTATTAATATTAAGGAAACTTCTCAAAACCTTAATCTCACAATCTCAATCTCTAAAACTCACACCGAATGCAACACACACGCATTCTATTATATAGAGACTATTTCCTAAACTCATTAGATAACACTTATCCCTAATCCTATTTCCCATAGGATATCTATAACTTAGATTCCAAGTTATCTTTAAGCTTATCTTCAACAAAAGTTACATAATTGTATAAAGCGACCTTTTAATATATATTGTCTTCTGTTTCATTGACTGCAGAATATGAACACAGAAGACATATGATAATATGGGAAGAATTCTATGAATGTAAAAATTGACACAAACTTCATTTTCATCACAAATCAGGGACTACTTATCGATTTTTATTGAGTTATAGATCTCTACGAAAACATTGAGAAACCATAGATTGATTCATGTTGAGAAACCAAAGAATTATTGGTTTTTTTATATGTTATAGATCAACATGTCTTTCAATAAAAAATCATAGATTGATTCATATTTTAAAAACAAAAGATCGACTAGACGTTTTCATATGTTTTCGCAGACAATGTTATATATGTGAAGATGGTAATAGTTAATTTTGACTTAGAATAGATATTAGGATCGATTTGATATGTGTATTTAATAATCATGATTTATTTGATATAATAACAATTATCTGTGATTAAAAATGTAATGTGACCAATTCTAGTAAGTAATCCATTTTTNAAAAGATCGACTAGACGTTTTCATATGTTTTCGCAGACAATGTTATATATGTGAAGATGGTAATAGTTAATTTTGACTTAGAATAGATATTAGGATCGATTTGATATGTGTATTTAATAATCATGATTTATTTGATATAATAACAATTATCTGTGATTAAAAATGTAATGTGACCAATTCTAGTAAGTAATCCATTTTTTTAAAAATCACACATGCATGAAAGAATGTTATGACTTTTGTTTTAATATATAAGATACATAGAATGAAATGATGGTCAGTCATTAAGCGTGTGTGGAAGATTCCATTTGCGTGAGGTTGAGGTATATTTTCTAAAAATATACATAGAATATAATGAGGTTGAGGTTTTGAGACAACGGAATGAAGATGTGTTGTGTAGGAGGGTTTTCTCCCGGGTGTTACGGTTCTTTTGGTTCTATGGTTCGAGTCAGTGTCTGTGTGAGGCTATTTGCGTAGTTCTGCCTTCTCATCGTGGACAGGGAAGTCAGTAACTTTCGTATTCTTTGTATCCATTCCGCGCTTGCTCTCTTGGCTGATTGTGGATCATCGTAAGACCTCCAGTTGAGTTAGGCTCTTGACAATGTTATCTTTGGTCGTTTATGTTTGTACGTGGGTTTAGCTGTAGAAATATTTGTTTTTAATCTCTTGTTAGTTTGTTTCTAGATCCCATTTGTTGGGTTACAGGTTCCTTCTTTTGGGCTGTGGTTCCGCGGATACTAAATTGTTCTGTCGGCTTATGTATTTCTCATAATGTTTGATATAAATCAGTTGATGGCAAAAAAAATGATGGTCATCAAGCAAGATTGTAATATTACATCTGGTTATCATTATGGAGAGAGGTGAACCTTCTACAGACCCATCCAGGCCTGGAGCCATCTCTAATTGCAAGGTACATTGACAAACACAAGAAATATGATAAGGCAATGCAGACTTTGGTTTGCATCGAGATGATTATTATCTAGCAATGTAGAATAATATATTACACAAACTCAAACAAGTTACATCCATTGTACAAAAAAAAGTCTTTTGATTTGAATCCAATTTAACATTCATTTAAAAAAAAAAAGGTTTGTGAAGATTTATAACCACACACACATATTTATAAGGGCTTTTTGCCAAAACTAACCCACAACTTGGTTTTAACCCCAATACTAGACCCCAACTTGAATCAAATGCAAATCTAACCTAAAAGGACTATGAAATTACAGTATAGTCCTCTGTGACCAAACAAAAAAAACAGAAGACATTTTTACGAATATAACCCCAGTAAGTTGTCTCAGTCGGGCTGAGTTACTTTTCAGTCGTCTGGACGACTGAAATGTTAGTTGTCTGGACGATTGAATATTAAAAATAACATATAAATTCTGTAAAAAATATTTTGATGAGTGAAAAATTAAAAACATGTAACTATAAACATTTATAAGTGATATAAATTAAGAAATGATAAAATTGATTTGTTTTCAGCATAGATGAGTGGAAGTAGTGAATCATGATATTCTTTGGTTTAAGGGTTTGGCAAACATATGTTGTAGTATTGTATGTAATCTTAGGGTTAGATTTTGAAAAGCTGAAATGTTTTTTTGAAAAAATTAATTTGACCTCTATGTGTTTATTTCTGTGTATAGTAAACATTTTTCAAGTTTAATTTAATGTTTCGAAGTGTTTAATTAGAGAATAAAGTTTAGGGGTTATGTTTAGGGATTTGACGACTGAAATTTCAGTCGTCTGCTTTAAATTATTTCCCAGAGACTGAAATTTCAGTCGTCTGCTTTAAATTATTTCCCAGAGACTGAAATTTCAGTCGTCTGCTTTAAATTATTTTCCAGACAACTGAAATTTCAGTCCTCTGCTTTATATTATTTCCCAGACGACTGAAATTTCAGTCGTCTAATTGTACCAAACCGTTAATTTTAACATTTTACGTTTTAACCTAACCGGACATATAAAAGTTATTTTTTCACTTTTTCACAATTTTCCGAAACCCTAGCGCCATTTCTCTCCAAGGACGATTGTAAAGGCGATTTCGACGAATCTCTCCTATTTCGACGAATCTCTCCGTTTTCGCCGGTAATCTCTCCGATTTCGACGAATCTCGTTTTTCTTTCATGCCTTAGAGTATTTTCGTAGTTTAAACTGACCATCCGCTTCCTTTTTTTCAGATCTGAAATCTTGTAGCCCTTTCCTCCGCCGCCGGTATGTTATATCTTATGTTTTAAGGCGTTTAGCCGACGGAAAACCCTAAAAATTGTAGTCTTGACTCTTCTTTTCCATTCGATATGCAGATCTGTGACCGCTAGGGACCACATCTTCTCCGACTAAATCTTCTCCGACTGTAAGTCGTCTGAGTAGTTTTCTCACTTCCTGGAAGTCTTCTACGAAGTCTTACTCTCTGGACGACTTACAAGACTCTGTAGAAGACTTCCAGGAAGTCGTCTGAGTAGTCTTCTCACTTCCTGAAAGCCTTCTACGAAGTATTACTCTCTGGACGACTTACATGTACGCCGTCCAGAGAGTAAGACTCTGTAGAAGACTTCCAGGAAGTCGTCTGAGTAGTCTTCTCACTTCCTGGAAGCCTTCTACGAAGTCGTCTGAGTAGTTATCTCACTTCCTGGAAGTCGTCTGCTAGTCTTCTATAGTATTTAGAATAATGCGCTACCTTTGTGGTTGAGATGGTTGTTTGTGATTGTTTGCAGGCCTTAAAATGGATATATCAGAACTGCCGCCGAGGTTGTTTACAATAGGAGAAGATCCCCCTGCACAGAGGAGCATTTTGTATCATTCTGATGACAAGAAGTTGTTTCAAGCTCTATCTGATAATCTCAGACCTGAGGAATATGAGGATCTGAAAGCGTCAAAGTTGGGATTATTCATCAAGTTCAAAGAGCTTGGCTTTGGTTGGACTTCAAGGCTTGTACATTTTATTCTCTCCTTCCAGCTGGACATCAAGAAGAAGTTTGAGCTCTGGACTCTTGCCAGACCAGAACCTTTGAGGTTTTCAATTCTATAGTTTGAAAACCTCACAGGTCTGAACTGAGACTACATCCCGAATTTGGAAAATCCAAGGTGTGAGATTTCTCAGGAGATGACTGCTTTCTGGGAGAAGATGGGTGTTGATCTCCATGCTGGGCCAAGCATTGAACAGATAACAACAGCATTTAACAAGTGTGACGGGTGGTCTCAAGATGATCGAATGCGGCTGGGATACCTTGCCATCTACGCAGGATACATTGAAGCCAAAAAGTTCTCTTCTCCTACACGGGCTAGTCTTGCAAGGCTAGTCATGGACTTGGAAAGATTTGAGAATTACCCATGGGGAAGAGTGGCGTTCAAGGTTATAATCGAGTCTTTGAAGGCAAAAGACTTGACGCAAACAGGTTACACCGTTGATGGGTTTGTACAGGCTCTCCAGGTGTGGGCTTACGAAGCTATGCCAGAATTGGGTGCCAATTATGGCTCTCATGTACCAAACAGACCGTCTCTACCGTTGCTTGCTTACAAGGGTGGCCAAGGACAATGCAGATGTTTCAGGGACGCCACCAGCAGACAGGTACTTAACTTCACTCTCGGACGACTTTCAGACGACTTAAAGTTAAGTCGTCTGAAAGTCGTCCAGAAAAAAAGACTTCACAGACGACTTAAAGTTAAGTCGTCCATCCTAATCCGTCAAATAGCTAAGTTTATATGTTTTATTTACTGCAGAGAGACGTGAACAACTTTGTTCGAAAGGACCTTGAAGATATGTTTCCAAAATGGGACGGAGACAGAGATGACCCTGCCGCGGACAACATAATTAAAGCCATGTTTGTTCCTGGATGGAAGTGGACCATGGACTGCTGGCAAGTCACCGGTACTCAGAAGATTGGTGTGAAGGAGGAGAGTGGTGTAAAGATTGAGAGTGGTGTGAAGGAGGAGAGTAGCAGACCTTGGAAGAAAGCTCGTAAAGAGTCGCATGTTGAAGCTGAGGCGACTGCAGAGGGTAGTCAATTGTCTTTTACGAAAAAACATCTTCAAAAAGCCTTGAAGGACATATCTGATGCCATGAAGGATGGGTTTGATAGGTGCCTTAGGGAGATACAATTGGTGGGATATAGGGTGGGAGCTTTGGAGAAGAAGGTGGGAGATCAGGAGAAGATGGTGGGTAGTACTTCAGAAAATCCAGAAAAACCCGGGGTTAGTACCATAATCACTATGCAACGTGTTAAGAAGAGGGCAAAACAGGCTTGTGTGTAGAGTTTTTAACCATTGTATCCTTTGCTTCGGAACCTTTGTGGTTTGTTTTAAATGTGCATGGATTTTTAAAAATGTGTGAATTTCCTTTGTGACTTTGTTTCTTGTGTGCTGTTTTTAAACACATTTTGTATATCGACATTGCAGAGTGAAAGTGCGAATGGGGCGAAAGAAAAGAGTCATACTGCCTCGAAAGAGCTGGTGGTGAAGGAAAATGTAGAGGACCCGAGTGGTGAAGCCAGTCTTCTCGTTTTGGACAAACAAGTACCCACTGCCGAAGATTTAGAGCAAGCGGAAGCTAGAAGGCAGACAAAGAAGGAAGCATACAAGGTGAAACTCCTTGGAAAAAGTGAGCGAGATCGGAAACTTGCTCCCACTCAACAAACTCCTTTCAAGGGAAACAGCACTGTCAAACAGATCATTCCAAACAAAATTGTTGGCAAAGTTTATGATCCTTTTGCTGAAGTTGACAAGAAGAAGTCGGATGACCTCACTACATGGCTCCAAACTGATCCGTAAGTCGCTTTAATATCCTATAAACTGCCTCTGGAAAAAAATGATTGATTATTTTTGTGTTTGCAGGGCATATGAACGGCCTCTGGACAAAAAACCACGAAGATGTCCAAGTCGGTTTTATCATGTCATCCGAACCCCCTTAGAATGGTTCACCGACCATGTAAGTCTTCTATTTTCTTACTTATAAGTGTGGGAACCGAAATTCACACATGTTGATTTCCGTAAAATAAGGAAAGCTAGGAAAACCCTAATTTTCCAGAGGAATCGGATCTCTGCGAAAGCCACCGACAAGTAACCAAGAACGCGATTAATATGAATAAATTGAAAGATATAAAAATAAAACGAGATTGAAAGCAAGAAGGATTCTTATTCCGAATTCGCGTAAGAACGGTTACAACGAGAGTTGCCTTAGCTGCGTGAGCCGTCGGCAAAATTCCTAGTTCTAGCAATCTAAGACTAAAACCCTAGTTGAGACGCAGCTCGATAACGAAAACGGAAAATTGCCTAAATGCTAAGTTTGGTGGGGAAAGCTCTGAAAACTCGTCCCTTTGCTTCTGCCCTATGCATCTTGCTTATATACTCCCTTCCTAGGCGGTTTAGTCTTTCCATTTCGCCCAGATTCTAGTTTAATGGGAATCTTCCATTTATCTCGATCTTTCCTTTTTTCCCGCGGAAATGTTCTATTTATCCTCAAACTAGATATTTATCTTCAAGTTTGACATTTATCTTCTTTCAGCGGGTAAATCGCCAAAACGTCGTCGTATCTTCGGGTTGGACTTCGTTTAAAGTCGCGAGTGGCTTTTATCGCGTTTTATGACTTTCCGAGCCGTTTTGCGATAAATCCGTTTTACGACTTTAGACGAGATCGTTTCCTGATACGATGCCATTTTTAGATAAGTTTCTCGAGTTAATCGTAAAGCTAAGCAATGTTCGATGTTTCGATTAATCGTTACCGTTTTCTACGATTTACTCGGGGTTTTATTAAAATCGCGTTTTGTACGATTTTTACGAAAAATCTCGAATAAATCGTATAGTTTAGGCGATATTTGGTGTTTCGTTTAACCGTTGCCGTTTTATACGATTTCCTCGAGTTCTT